TTTCACAGAGCTTCTTTCGAACGATCTGATTACCCTCATACACGACAGAATTCCATACTTCACTGGCAAAGGTATGCTTGACCCTTTTTCACTTGCAACCTGCATCATTGGTTCAGGAATGATTCTACATCTGTGTCGGACTTATGCTTATGTGCTAGAAACTTTGGGCAGACTGAAAGAGGTTGACTATTTCGCGGAGCGTTGGGAACATGTTTACAAAAATGTATAGAACTTTACCTAGGAAGTAGAAATTTTCATTCTTTCCAGGAATTATTGAAATCACCTTATATGGCATTCCTTACAGTGCTTGTTGGACAGGAGCCGGAAGAGTTGGAACAGAGAATGGCTGATGCTTACGGCATCGAGGCCACAGACTCCTTCTTCTCAGAAAAATATCAAGTAATCTAGTCTGTTCACTGACGTTTCATCTACTTTGTTCAGTTGTATCTATTGGCTGCCACTCATTACAACTGCTTTGTGGAGAAGCTAACCGACGAATTTCTACGTTGTTTAACTGTTCTGATCTTGTCTGAAGCCAGGAGGAAAAATGAAGTTTTAGCAGCCTATCAACTAGTATCTATCTATGTTGTTCCAGCTAGTCGCAATGGTTGGAAAGTTGCGAAAAGATTATATCTTCCACTCTCGTTCAAAGAAACTCAGTGCACTTTTCTTCGATGCCGTTTTCATTGTAACAAGTGATGCATATTCTGATTGCGATGTGAGCATGATCAATCGTCTTTGTTTGACTACAATATAAATTCAGAAAGATGATATGGAAATCGGAAGATGGACAAGATATGCCTCATCCGTTTTAAAGAAGAACGAGTAAGTTTCTCTCTCAGAAGACGCTCAGAAAGGTTGCATTCATTACCATGGTTCAGAGAGAACTATCTCTACACCATGCTTACAAAGTTCTCGGACATGATGGACGAGAGGACTGTTAAGCTGAACAAAGAGAATACAACCATTGAACAAGTATTAACAGTATTGGAAATGATTCAGGATATGTCCATCTCTGTCAAGTGCTACGACGCTATTATGGTATTTGGCTTCAAAGACTTCGTTTACACCTTTTTTCAGTACTTTTTCATTGTACTCCTCACACTTTTCGCTAAAAGCCGCTCCAAGCACTTTTTCCGATGCTTCCAAGTTGCAGGGCTCTATTTTGCGTAAGTCATACATATCTTTCTTCGAGCTTGAGCATGAGTTTCAGTCATCCAGAGCACTATTTAGAGATAAACAAAATCACACGTAAGTTCATGACTAGGTATTGGGTCCCCGCATTCTGTCAGTTGGTATGGTCTCTCCGTCTCGATGAAATAGAAATCTAATTTTGCAGCATAGTATCAAGAACGAGATCTGTTCGCGTGAATTCTTCTGCGAAACCTTAGCGAACTTTGCTTATAGAAACATCGAAGACTTTGGTAGGTATAAAGCGTTGTAGTTAGAAACAGAATGTCTTTCAGAGGG